TGGCAAGAGGATAGACTATCAGGAACTGGCCCCTGAAAATTATTGGACGCAAGAAGAAGCGAAGCGATACGGGTCATTGCAGAACAATTTATATTGATCGGACCATCCAGACTATTGTTGCGCAGATCAACTATCGAAAGCGAAGGAGAATTCACCAAAGAAATAGGCAATAAGCCAGTTAAACTATTTGAGCCGGCAGAGAAGGAATCCAGTTTTCTCAGTCTCCCAAAAACATCTGGAAGACTTCCATTGAACCCATTGGAGGAGATATCCAATTCAACAAGGTTAGAGAGGTTACCAATACCGTAATGCAAAGGCCCTGAAAACCTATTTTCTTGAAGGTGCAGTATTCTAAGATATTGTATCCGGTACAAATTCTGAGGGAAAGCTCCTGATAGTCCATTGCCATTAAGGTAAACATAATGCAATGAAGTACAGTTCTCCAAATATAGTGAAGCTTCTCCAAAGAAGTTATTGGCAAGATTAATATACTGGATATGAGATGAAGTTTTACAAAGCTCTAAACTAAGCAAGCTAGAAAAATGATTCTTCGAGAGGTCAAAATACTTTATTGAGGGTAAATGAATAACAACGGGAAGTGAACCGACGAAATCATTGTTACTCAAGTCCAGGACTTCCAGGTTCTGAAAACGAAACAAGTTGGTGGGAATTTTACCATGGAAAAAATTATGAGAGAGGTTCAGGATTCTTACTTGCTCTAATCCAACCAAAGTCTCACATATTGTTCCTGCAAGTCTTTTGTTCCCAAGTTCTAACCCAACAACTCTTTTATTTACAAAAGAGGAATTATCACAAGTGATGCCCGTCCAGGAGCAGCAATTGAAGCTGTTCCAGTTCCACCCGCCAATATCTGATCCTAAACAATTGGAGAAACCTTTGAGGGCTGTTAAGTCCTTCAAATTGCATGCCGGTTCTTGAGATCCCTGGATCCTCTGCCGAAACGTGACAGCCAACAAAATGAAGGCCAAAGAGACCTTTGAGATGCCCATGAAGGTCGGTTTAACAAAGGGAAGCAAGGAGTTGTTACTGGTTTTCACTAAGCTCTGATGCAATGACGACTTATAGTGAGCCAACGCGCATTTTCTTTTCTTTTCCTGTCCTTTCCTCTCTTCCTTTTCTTGGTAAAAGGCCCCATGACTTTTTGGCGGAAGCTGGACAATCCATGATTATTGCTTCTTGACTACGGGGATATGGCAGTCTACTTATTCATTACTAAACCCTGTGTCAAAAAGGAAAACAAAGACCATTGGTGAATTCTTCATGTCCGCAAGAGAGTTGTTGCTCCGCGTGAGGGTTTCCCAATTTGACTTTGTCAAATGCATTAATCTGATCATTTCAGTTTCAACCATTTGGATAGTATTCAACGGGGGTTGTTGCTGATTTTGGACACTGGCAAGGTAACAAATGGAGGTGGAATATCAATTTTTGGAGGGCCCCTTTGATTGGGAAACAGATCACTGGGTTGCTTTCATGGAAACAATTAGCAAAAATCAACCTCACCCCATTAATCAGGATAGAGCTATATGGAAGAAAACTTCCAGCAAGCTTTACCGTCCCTCGTCCTTCACCGAAGCTCACTAATCTGTTTTCTGTCCCTCAGGTAACGTTTGGAAAGCTTTAATGGTCGGGACTCGCCCCTCCGAAGGTTGAGGTTCTTTGTTGGCAAATCGTCGACGGTAAAGTGGCTGTCAAATCCGGACTACTCAAAAAAAGGCTTCTGGATATCAACTCTATCAACTGCACCCTCCAAAGTAATGCACTTGAAACCCCTCAGCACAACTTGGTTCTTCCTAACACATTCTTTTATGACTAAATATTTGATGTCGGTGTGTTTACTTTGACTATCACTTTTGTTATTTTCAGCCAAGAAAACTACAACTGAATTGTCACTATACATCCTTAATGGCTTTGAAATGGAATCCACAATTCTAAGCCCAGATATGAAACTCTTCAACCATAGACCATGTGAGGTAACTTCAAAACAAGAAACAAACTTAACCTCCATGGTAGAAGTAATAGTTAAAGTCTACTTTGCACTCCTTCAAGACATGGCTCCGCGAGCAAATATAAAAACATATCCAAATGTCGATTTTTATGAATCAACACACCTAGTGAAGTTCTAATTCGAGTAACTAACTACCTCTGGTTGTCAATTTGCTTATACATAAGCATGAAATCTTTGATCCCTTTAAGGTACCTTATCACCTTCTTTGCAGCTTTCTAATGGTCCATACCTATGTTACTTTGATATCTTCCCAACATTCCAACAACAAATGCAATGTCAAGTTTTGTACAAACACAAGCATACATTAAGCTTCTTATAGCAGAAGCATGCAGAATGTTTTGCATTTGTTTCCTTTCAAGCTCATTTTTTGAGCATTAGTTCAAATTGAACATGTCACCTTTCACAATGAGTGCTACACTCGGTGAACAATCCTTCATCCGGAACCTCTCTAAAAGCTTATTAATAAAGGTTGCTTTAGATAAACCCCAAATGTTTTAAGATTTGTTCTAATGGATCTTAATGCCAATGACATAAATGCCTCACCCATATCCTTCATATCAAAATTCATAAAGAGAAATTGTTTCACTTTATATAGCAACCCTTTATCATTGGTTGCAAGTAGAATATCATCCTCATATAAAACAATAAAACATATTTTACTCCCACTAACCTTCTGATATATGCATTAATCTATGATATTCTTTATAAAACCAAATGAAGAGATGACATCATGGAACTTCAAATACCGTTGACGGGAGGCTTGTTTGAATTCATATATGGATTTCTTGAGCTTGCACACTAAATACTCACCATCACTAAAGGAGAATCCTTCCGGTTGTTTCATAAAAAGCTCTTTCCCTAGGTCCCCATTAAGGAACATTGTTTTCGCATCTATTTGATGTAGTTCCAAGTCAAAATGGGTAACCAATGCCATATACATTCAATATTGCCTAATTAATCCCTTGGCAACAAGTCCTACTTTATATTTCTCAATGTTGCCTAATAAATCATTTTCTTTTCAAAACCCATTTGCATTCAATGGCCTTTGCACTACCAAGCAACTCAACAAGATTCCAAACTCTGTTAACTACCATAGAATTTAACTCATATTTCATGGCATTGTACCACAATTTAGCTTCTTTACAACTTATGTGAAAATGTTTTAGGATCATTTTCTACTCCAACGCTATAGTCAACTTCTTACAAATACAGAATGTAATCACTAAGGATTGTTGATTTCTTCAGCTTAGTTGATCTTCTTAATATTATATTAACATCCTCTTGAAGAGCATGTTGTACAATTGGTTGCTTAACAATCTCTCGCAATTGCTGAACAACCAGATCTACTAGATTGTCATCGGTAGCTTATAGAACTTCAACGATTGGTCATACAACACCCATTTGAATTTGAGAAGTGTTATGAATGACAATCAATCTGTCACTTGAAGTGGGAGTTTGAATATCACAATGATTCTTCTCATAAATTAAGTTCTGAGATTGATCATTCCTATTGATAAAGTCATTTTCAAGAAATTTTGCATTTCTTGATTCCACAATCCTAGTGCTACGAGATGGACAATAAAATTTGTACCCTTTAGACCTTTGAGCATATCCAACTAAATACCCATTTATAGCTTTAGATCTAATTTCTTTTCTAATGGATTATAAACTCTTACTTTAAACGGGCATCCTCAAATACGTGTATGTTGCAAACTCAATTTCCAACCTTTCCATAATTCAAATGATGGTTTTGAAACAACCTTGATTGGAACTCGGTTTAATATATACATTGCTATTTTAAGAGCTTCAGTCCACAAGGATTTAGGAAGCTTGGATCTGCTGAGCATACTTCGCACCATGTCCAACAATGTTTGGTTTTTTTTTTTTTTGTTACTCTGTTCTGGTCTAGAAATCCAAGCATGGTGTATGAGGCCACTATCCCATGCTTTTTAAAAAACTTCGCAAATGGACCAGGTGTTTGTCCATCTTTAGTGTATTTACCATAATATTCTCCACTGATATCTGATCTCACAATCTTAATTTGCTTCCCGCATTATCTCTCTACTTTAGTTTTAAATACCTTAAAGGCATCTAATGTTTCGTTTTTGTTATGAAGCAAATAAAGATACATGTACCGTGAATAATCATTTATAAAAGAGATAAAGTATTTCTGACCATACAAGTCCATATCTAGACTACAAATATTTGTATGTATGATCTCTAATATGTTTGAACGCCTCTTGGCACTTTTCTTTGTCTTGTTGGTTTGCTTTCCCTTTATGCAGTCCATACAAGCATCAAAATCAATAGAATCCAAAGTACTAAGCATTCCATCATTCACCAATCTTTTAACCTATCACAACCCAAAACTGAAGATCCGCGATTGGTGCAAGAGTTAGGTAAGCAAAGCCTGCAAGACTCGAGCAAGCCTTAGAAATATTCATCTGATTACACATAGCCGTAAGTTTTCATAACCATCACACATGCATTTCATAATACGTTTGTTTAATTTACAATATCACCCCTTGGCACACTGTTAATACAACAATGTTTTCACAATATTCATAAGGCCATACATTTACCGTTAAAGTGCATTCATACCATACAACTCTTAACTCAATAATATACGATAACACAGTGCCTATGCAAATCCCCAACTAACATGGTTAGGAAATTAGAACTAGAAGAGGAAGTTATTACAACTTGCACTCAATGAAATGGACCTATCGGATAGGAAACCTACTAGATGTCAAAATTCATATGTTTAACGATAACACTAGCCACATGAATCCCATAGCTTTACTTATTTGCACATGGTACAAATATAGGGGTGAGTCATTTAATATTCAATGAAGAAAAAGACTAACATAGCATAATAAATCACATATAATTATATACATATGTATAAGGACATATCTAGTCATAAAGCTATCATAGCTATTATCAAACATCTCACAATTTAGAGATACGAGAATCATCTTAATATCCTATGTGCACATTTGATCTTTCTATGCCTTGTTGTGATCACATCTTAACGATGCATCACATTTGTGCTCAATCAAATCTATATCTCCATAACAAAGCGTATCAATTAAGGCTTACCTTTTTAAAGCCGTCATCAAACTAGGTTTCATAGACACACCCTAGTTGCTAAGCATAGCCTTAAACTCAATATATGATTTGCTTCCCTTGAAGCTTTTCATCAAATGTCGGCCTCATTTCAATTATATAATGACCACCACATTTCAGTTAAATATCAATACCTACATATTCACATATCCTATCATCAAAATCAAACAAAATCAATGAGTGGTTCTCCCTTGGACATAGTAAATCATGTACGTGTTGAAACAACAAGCGAAGAACAAATCACACATAACACCTGAGCAATTGACGAAGAAATCAAATCGACCAGAGTAATCTCCAGATAGCCAGCATCATAGCACGGCAAGCGAGAATCACAAGTGGGACCTCTACTATCAACCCTGTTTATTGCCAACCCTGTTTATTGCCACCCCTACAACAAAGCACATAGTCACAGGGGAAAGACACCACTCAACCTTAAATCAATCAACATCCAGAATACACGTATCGGACAAAGCATCATCAAATTTATAGGCCATCAATGCTGTTATTAGTTCGTGTACCATAATTCACGTCAATCATCCCAACTCAATAGCCACACAAGCATCAGTAGTCTCACATCAGCTATATATAAGTTCACACATATCAAATGTGTATAAACACAATAATCCTCCAGTTTATTCATCATATGCTATCACCTCCTAATACATATCACGATCTCATATACAGTTAGGCAACCTAGTTCCCATAATGTAGCATAAGTATTAGTTCAATCTTTTTCAAATCAACAATTTAACATAATAAGTTCCTCCCGCATGTATCACATAAACCCACATATGCATGGCAAGCTCCATAAACATTAATGCTATGCATTATTCATTCCATTTATCACATAATCAC